ATATTAAGAATAACCTTGATACATTGGACACGTTCTGTTACAATTTTTTCCAAATACCCCATAACAAATCCAAACTTTCATCAAATCAAATAGCGTTTTCACAACTAAAACCCAAAAATGATAATTACAATGTGAACATTATTCATATGTAAGTACATCTTCTACGAGTAATTTTTAGTACACATGGTAAAGTATACAACTATAAAGCAAGCAGGATTAAGGGGATGAATTGGAGTTCTTTACTTAATACTGGTTGTATTTAAAGTATAAATATTCCACAGAGATATAAATCCAAAGTATAATACTGCTGCAACATTCTGTAGCAGTGTTGAATAGTACTCTGCTTTCTTCATTTATTTAGGTGCAATGTAAAATACTGCTTCACACAGTCACTTATATTGGTAGGAGGTATATAAGTAGGTAGCAAACAGCAGACGTTAGTAAAAGAGTGGAGATGTATTGTTTAATTACAGATGTGCATCATCACATAGGTTTTTCCCATTAGTCTGTTGCTTTGTGAGAGATGATCTGTGAGTTTAAGTTCAAGATAACTGTCATTGATGCAACAAATTACAGTGCACAATTATGTAAAAAGTCATGGATTGAAGCAAATCTTTCTTGTAGGTCATATTAAATGTCAGATAACCGAGAAACTTCTGCAAGAGGTTGGATTATGTTAGAAATAATTTAGACATTATGGTGTACAGTCCAAGTGAACTGTGTGGTGTTGATTGGGCAAGATACAGCATAACTGGAAAGGTACAAGTGCTTTCTAAAGACAATCTTCTTTTCCTAACTGGATGAGGAAAATAACATGGAAGTCGCAGACTTACCGATTTCCTGGAATGCAAATAGTTGTATCTGTGTGTACTCTTTGTGGATTTGTTTTATATAACAATGAATGATAATACTGTTAAATGTTGGGGCAATCCTGTAAGAAAATATTCTATATATCCTGTAGAAAGGCCAGAGCAACAGTAGCTGACAGTCTGAGTAGCCTAATTTGAAGGTGAATTATTGGATAATGTACCTGTACCTTATTGTTTTGAACAGTGGTTATACATTTATAGGGAAACTGTAACACTCATATGTTTAAGCATACAAATTTGTATGAGTGGCAAAATTTCATTGTACCCCATACCTTAAGAAAATGCTTATTTTTGTAGAAAATGGTTAAATTTAGCAGCTGATTGTAACTACTTTTATAGGTGAGATTTTCAATTATTTCTGATATGTTTTGTATTTATGATACAATAGAATACTGTGGGTACCAAAACTACTACTTTGTTGGTGGTTTAATTACTTCAGTAACTGCATGGAGAATACAATTCATTAATATGGATATTTATAATACCATTTTACACAATAGTGAATTAAAGCATATTAGTAAAGTAAACAATAAATCTCAAAATATTACTCACCATATATCAGTCATGACAGAAATAAGAAATTCAAGCCAAAATCATTTGTCAGGAATAAAACTAAAGACAAATATTAAGTCTGAGTTATTAAATTGTTAAGTAATTCAACTGGATAGTGGAAAGTTAAATTTGTCTTGTTTTTATACTTGGTATTTATAGATCCTATTAACTTTATCTATAGCTTTATTTAAAACCTCACATCTTATTCTAATTGACCATTTTCAGTTTCTCTTGAAATAAAAAAAAGTAAACTTACCATTGTGAACTAGGGCAAAAAAGGCTTTTTTCACCTAAACAAAAAATATAAAAATAAATATTTAATCTAGTTTCAAAACTATTACATATTTAAAAGCCAACATAGAGTAATTTTGGGTTTCTCATACGAAAAAAAAAATATGGGAAATTTTAATGTTTACCTTTCAAATGCAGATTTTTAAGCATTCTCAGATGAATACATTTTATTCATCCAAAGAAGCCACCATGCTTTGTGAAACTTTAAGTTATGATGACTAAAATATTAACGTAGAAGTCCCTCATAGTCACATTCATTATTACTCCTGTTCTCAGTAAATAAACCTGATTTTGTAAAAAATGCTGCACAATATTCTAAACGGTACATGTTACGTGAGTGGAGAGTCAATAAAGATAATACTTTTACTTTTTTGCATGATTTAAACTTATCACTAACCTATCTGTAGCATGAAGCATAAATGTTTAACACTTTGGTTTTACAAACAAATAATTTTATATTAATATTGACCCCATCATTCCTTGCATGTTACTGAAATATGTACATTTATCACTTAATAAAATAAGTAATGAGATTTTTCTACAGTGTACAGTTGCAGGTATTTGAATTCCAGACATTTTAATTAATTTTAAGTTTCTGAACTTATTTATTCAAACACGTCCTCAAGTTTCATTAAAACAACTTATACAGGACCTTCTGTTTTTAAAATTTACAAATACTATATAGTTTTGTTTCATTCCATCTATTCTCATATTGTTTTAGACAAATCCATCAATTTCTTTTATAATAACTAATCAATAAGTTATGACAAAATAAATAAATATTAATGAATGATAGAGAACTCTTTATGCTAAACATTTAATTCATTCAAATCTTAATGAATGAAATGCAAATAAAAATTTACTATTTGCAAATATTCCCTGCTATGCCTTTTAAATTGAAATCCACTTTAGGGTACAGGTAAGATGAAAGGTTTTTGATATCTCTTAAAAATCATTTTTGCTTTCAATTAACTAAATCCCCAAGAAGCATTATTAGTAATGTTTATTGAATTAAAAATATAAATTAGCCATTCAATATCACTTCCCATTATATATTAATGAACTAACTTTTCAGTCACTCAATATTTTCACTTTTCTCATGGATTAAGAATCAGTTTTCTGTGGTACATATTAAAGTCTATTACAAAGTCAAGCTAACTGAGATACACAAGGTGTATTGACAAACATTAAAGCTATGCACCAACTAACATGCTTCTTTTATGTCAAATGCTATCTTATCATCTGCACATTGATCTTTATCTGAAGATTAAATAGACAGGTAGTACTTATCAAGAAATTTTGATCGAAGTAATCTGCCTATATAGATATGAACTAAACATTAACCTTGTAAATAATGCAATTAATGTTTTGTGATGTCATAAAATAAACTTGTTTAGAATGCATTGATATATCAGTTGGATACCACCTCTCTTTTATCAATATTTTCAGCCAGTTTAGGAGACTTAGGTTATAGTCCTAAATCTATACACTAAGCTAACAATGCAAAATACTTGTATTAAAACATATGAATAAATGAAAAATAACAAGATAAATAAAAATTGGGAATTTAACTCTGTGTTAGTCTTCAGTAAAAATTGTCCATAGTCACTTTTTAGGGGACTGAGTGAACCCCATCATAAAACATTAATTTAAAAATATTTATAATAATAATCTATTATTTTGGAAACAAAAAACACTAACACTCAAAATATTTTCCTTTTTTAATCAATAAATGAACATTGAATATTACAACTTGGTTTCTTTTTTACCACCTAAACTAAGTGCAACAATTTAACACAAACTAGCCAAGTACTGAAGCTACTGAGATCAACAAATATGCATGTGCTTCCATCTGTCTGTGCCGATGTTTACAAAATATTTGAGGTCCATGAAGACCTCAGAAGACTAATGCAGGGTTAAAAACCTATAAAAAGGGATCATAAAAAAAGTAAAGAAACAAGGCTAGAGGTACTGCAGACATTATTTACTCAAACTAGAAACCCCTATTTTGGCTCCATGCTGTTACCTAGAATTACATTTGGTGGAGTCAAAATAGGGATTTGTAGTTTGAGTAAATAATGTCTACAGAATTACCAGCCTTGTTTCCTTACTTTTTTTTTTATGATCTGCATTTA